TGTATTTTTTGGGTCTGGATGCTTGAATGTTTCTCTAAGTGTGAAACCTTTCCTTCCAGGATTTCATGGAATAGATTATCAAGGCCCTTATTAGTTTCTTCACCTACTGGGATACTGATTATTAGAATGTTTGGGCATTTGATAATATATAGTATTTCTTGTATGTTATCCTAATTTTTGTGTTTCTTTTAATTTTTTTTTCATTCTTTTGGATGATTTTTTTCTAGATCAGAGGTTTTGTCTTCTATATCTGATCTGCATGATCTAATCTGCTTTTAATACTTTCAAGGGAGGTTTTGATTTCCTGTACTACAGCCTTCATCTTTAACAGTTCTTTTTTATTCTTTTTTCTATGTGTATTTCTTCTTTCAAATTGTGGGAAGACTTCCTCATCTGGAGTTTGTTTTCTCTTTTCTTTCATCTCATTTAGTTTTATCACTATGAATATTCTGAATTGTTTATCTGTCATTTCCACAAGTTCTATTATACTGTCTGTGGATAAAGAGAAATTGTTCTTTTCCCTTGGGGGAGAGACATTTTCTTGGTTTCTCATATTTCTTGTACCTCTGCATTGGTTTCTGTTCTTCTGATAAATTATAGATTTCTTTCTAATTTCTTAGAGTTAATTATGAGAGTTCAAAGGCATGCAGGAGGAGGTGAGCTGCAATATCTCTGGGGCTCCTCTCCCTGATGCTTACTGTGCAACTTGCACCATTGCACTGGAATTGGATATTCCAAGGCCTCCTATTTTCGTGAGAACAGGTGCCCCTGGGGCTAAGCTGCAGGGTTGCAACTGCAAAATAAAGTAGGGGTCACGCAGTATGTGCCACACACTTTAGAAACTATAAAGTCTGAAAGTATTTCTGAGTAGGCAAGAGGCAGCTAGAGGTCTAAAGGGTTCTCCTGCTTCAGTTTTCTCATTGACTGCTGCTTTTTGCATGATCCAGGACTTATGGCAGAGTAGGGAGGCAGAAGCAGGAGAATCTGGGCACCTGGAATGGCTGGGATTTCCCAAGGTGATCTACAACCTCAGTTTTCTCACTGACTGCCACTCTGCTCTGGGTCTGGGGCTAAGGGCCCTATGCTACATTTTTAGTGACAGTTGGGTATGAAATTTCTTTGTATTTTTCTCTTATTTCATTGTAGATTGAATAAGCTAATCACCATTGCTTATGTATTTTTAGGATTTTTTGCATGTTTTATAAATTGACTATGTGTAGAGATAAACCAAACCCATACATACATATTTCCAAGAAATAATCACTGACAAAGAGTAATTTACTCCTTGATTAAAATATAGTTTTGGTAATATTATGGCAAGAAAGTGCACTAAGATTCATTTAATATCATTTTCAATATCACAATGAAATTAACAGCTTCTTGAGTATTATGTTACTCTCCTTTTATATAGAAGTTTTGAAAATAAGAGAATCTTTTAAAGTTAATTTATAATTGATATAATCAGATAATAGTAGAAAGAATGTGTTATATGGTATTGTGGCTACACTGGGTTGCTGAACTCTGACAGAAATATTCTGAGAAGTGGTTACTATCTAGGTGAAATAAATTGGATAAATGAAAATGTTATTAGTGTTTTGTGTAACCACCACCACAGTACTCTTTGAGATTTTAAAATAATATAACTCATCATTAAAAAAAATTAATAGAATCTGTAGCTATCTAATTTACTTTTTAAGTATGTTGCATATCTTTAAAATAATTTCTCTCATACAATTAATTTATAACAAAATGCAAATTATGTACATTTTGACTTACTATGGCTAAATATGCAGTTAAATTTGTGTGTGTAAATTGTACAAATATAACAAAGTGCTATAAATAATTTCTGTTTATCATTTTTCTTTTTCTTTTATAGGCTTTTGCCATAGGCATGTGCCCTTACCAAACAAAGACAGAGAGAGACAGTGAGAGGGAAAGTGAGAAATTGGCCTCCCAAGGGATATGGCCATGTCATAGTCCCCTCTTCTCCACTTTCCTTTTGGTATCTTAAGTGTGCATGCACACACACCTGGTGTGATTTTCAAGTCACCAGGTCTGCAACTCAAACCATGGTTGGCCATGTAGAAGTTTTTAAACCATACCTAACCTGCTGGCCTTATGTTAATATTTCTAATTTATGGTTTATTGCTCACATTTTGCTGGATTTTTCTTTTTTTACATTTTTTTTAATCTAAAGCTTCCATTCTTTAGATTATATAAGTGTAAGTGCATTAAAATAAAGGTTATACTGAAAAAGAAGTCTTGTAAGTTTTCTAAATAGTATTTTCTATTGGTAATCATAAGAAATATTGTTTCACGTCTATCACCACTCTGAAGATTGAGAATATAGTTGCTCTAGAAACATTATTTATGCTGTATGGTTATTATTTCTGCTGCTTCCAACGTGAAGCATTGCATTTGTTTTTGTGAAGAATGTTGGTACTTGATTATAATCATAGCTGACTCTCTTTTGATAGCCAATTTCACTTTGGAGAATAGGTGTAAGTTTTTTTAGTGTTCTGAGTGTAAATCAGATCAATCCTATCATAGAATGTAGAGTGTGTGAATGATGAATAGTGCTTATTACATCATGTTTATTAAAATACAGAAAACTTTTTTCATTCATATTGATTTTGTGCTTTAGCTTGCTTAAGATTTTTTTATACTTTCTAGGTGTCCTTGTAAAGCATGGTTAAAGCCTTATTCAGAATCCAAGATATACTGGATGATTAATATATATATTTGTAGAATGAATGACTATCTAATACATATTTGTGTGGTTTATTAGAGTGTTCTGTTTTAGGATATGTAGCTTTCTTCATGGTAGTCTGTGGCTTCACTTATAGATAGCAGTGCATGTAAAGGAAAAAAGTGATATTAGCAAGGATAATTCTGAGGTGGGGCCTACTCCACCATATATTAGGGGTTGTCAGGAAAGCCATGACACTTTCTTGCATAGAAAAACATTAAAAAATATTTTATGACTTTCCCGATGACCTAATAAAAAATGTTATAAAGCTAATTAAAGTTCTATGTGGTAGGCATAGGTTTTATTTTCCCATTTTACAGGAATGAAATGAAGATTTAGGCAGTTTACCTTACTTTCACACGCTGAGTGGAGGGCCAAGATTCACAATCAGTTGTTTTGAATCTGAAGTTTCACTAAAAAAGAGAGCCCTGGGTCCAGCACTGTAGCCTAGTGGTTAAGGGAGTTGGTCCCAGATGGCTGACAGTGGTTTGAATCCCAGCCCTTAGAACTTGAAAAACATGTATGCATGAGTGCCCCAAATTCTGACAGAATGGAAGACTAGAGGACAAGGAATATTGATGTGACCTTATCAAACTGGGAGGTACTTTCTCCATCTCCTCTCTCTACATCTTTCTGTCTCTGGTGATTGTACACACTCCATGGCTATTAAAAAGAAAAAAACAAATCAAGACGATAAAAGAGAAATAAATAGAGTGTGAGCCCTGGTACTTCAAGTTTGTATACAAGGACTTCAGAAAATTTATGGAAAAAAATGGAATTAAAGTGCAAGTTTATTTTGGTACCAAAAAAGGATATCCTTGTGTTTTTTTCATGATATACATTTTCCATCAACTTTTTGAAGACCCTATTGTGTGTCTTTTTCTTTAAATTATGTTTTAAGACTTCACTTTTTTAGAGTAGCTTTAGGGTCACAGCAAAACTGTGAGAAAAGTAGAGATATCTCATATATCTCTTGCCCCCATACATACATGACTGTGTCTCTGGCAAGCACATGAGTCCTATGGTAAATACCTAAAAAAGAAAAAGAAAAAAAAATGCTATAGGGTGCTTGCATTTGCTAGAAAAGGAGGGAGAAAAATAAAAAAAGAAATCATGGGAGGATAACCATGATGCTGTCGTCTCACCGCCTCCATTTTTCTCTCAGGATTTTGGGCATGCACACACACATGCCCAACATGATTTTCAAGTCTGGGTCTGGGACTTGAACCATAGTTGCCTCTGAATCCCACTGCCTTAACCATCATGCTACCTTTTCGCCTGGAGTTTTACTTTTTTTTTTCTTTTTTTGGAGAGGTTTATGCTATAGGGTGTGCGCGCTCGCCAGAGAGAGAGAGACAGAGAGACAGAAAGCGTGAAATCACCCCCAGGGGGGATGGCCATGCCACAATCCCTTCTCCTCCATTCTCCTCTCGGGATCTTGGGCACGCACACACACGCGCCCGGTGTGAGTTTAAGCCAGTGGGTCCAGGACTCGAACTGCGGTCGACTACGTGGGAGTCCAGCGACATAGCCATTATGCTAACTGCTGGTCCCCCTGGAGTTTTAGTTTTTAAATAAATAATTAATATAAAAACTTTCCTTGATATTTTAGTGTTAAAGTTAATCAGAGTTTATGATTTACAATGAGGCATAATGAAACTAATATTGAATTAAGGATTTTCAGTTCTGGTCACCCCATGACCTTGAGTAGGACAGTTTGTCAGCCTCACTCATCATCAACTGAAATGTGTGGTTAATAATATCTTTGCTGCTCATCTCCTCATAGTGTTGTCAGAATGAAGTGATATATGTGAAAATATTGTGTAAATAGTGCAGTTTATAAAAGTTACTATAGTAAATAAGTTAAAATGTGCCATTGTATTGAGCATTTATGTTTCTTACAACAGTTTCCTGGCGAAGGCCACATTAATATTGCCATTTTACAGATCAGGAAAGTGAGGCTCAGAGCATATAAGATACTTTGGTGAATGGGAAAGGCACTCAGATTTGAGACTAGGAGATTTGAATCTAGGTCTATCCGAAAGTAGAACCAATTCTTATAATTGCAACACTTTCATCATTCATCTGAGTAATTGTCACTGTGTAGCATTATGTATGAATTGATCAAGGCAGTAAAAATACAATTCTCTTTATTATCACATCTGAATTCTCAATGTGAAAATGAAAGACTAATTTTTTATGAAATGGAATGCTGTAGAGTTCTAACCATCCAAATATGTTTTTCTCTTAGAGTTTAATTGTCCTGAATCCACTCACGGTGACTGAGGAGGACATAAGACCATCACTAGAGAAACGTCTGGAAGCCATTATCAGTGGAGCTGCTCTGCTGGCAGACTCTTCATGCACAAGGGACTTCCACCGGGAGCGGATTATTGCAGAATGCAATGCCATTCGCCAGGCTCTTCAGGACCTGCTTTCAGAGTACATGAACAACGTAAGTGACTGGTTTGCCCTCCCTACCTTATTCCTCTACCTCTCTTGTTCTTTGAGTATATGCTGACATATTTTTTGTGTGCATAGTATGACAAATTACAAATACATTGTTTTACATGGGTTGGCTTTCTGAGTGGGTTCTGCTTGGTTGTTCATAGGATACAACAAGCTGGGAGTTTCTAGGAATGAAATCAGAACCAGAGGTGTATTTATACATGACTTTTGTCTGTGGAAGTAGCTAAATATTAGTTAAAGAAGGAAGTCGGAATAGGAGAAAGGAAGCTAGATTTGTACATCAATTGAAGGGATGAAAAGAAGGTAAACAGAGGGACAATTTGCTCAGGATTAGTTGGTGAATAAGAAAGAGCATTGAAAGTTAGAATTGAGATAGTACAGATTAGTCAGTGCTGCAGGTATCATGAGCCATAACTTAAAGTTATAAAGAAACCATGCAATTTAAACAGCTTTTTACCTTTTTCAAATGTGAGTGTCACAGATATTTTTTGCATTTTTAGCTATTGCTCAGAAATACTGAAAATGCTGTCTAAATAGAAGGCAGAAATATTTGTTTCAAGTTCTTTTTGTTTCATTATATATTAATTTGTTGAAGAACCCACATGTATATGGGACAATTAGTATGAAAAATACTATGAATAGATTTCAAAGTTTTTTGGACCAAAATATACTTGTACTTTAATTTCATTTTTCCACAAACTTTTTGAAGTACCATTGTATACCTGCATCTATGGAGTGTTTGTGACTTTGGTTCCCTTCAAATCCTGGTGCCATTTATGAAGATATTGTCAATTATATAATATGAGGTCTTCTGAAATAATAGAGCCAAACAAAATGAAAGAGTTATCATCGAAATATTTTGCTCATCTGTTTCATTATAAGTGGAATAATTAAAGATATATTTAGAGAATTATTAGTTAAAAATGTTTCATTATAAGTGGAATAATTAAAGATATGTTTTGAGATTTATTAGTTAAAATGCATATTACTTTTTGAGTATGAAATTGAAGATTGTTCAGTATAAGTACTTTATGTAAGTAGTTGAAATGTGCTAAAATTAGTGAGATTTTTGAGAACCTTTCAGCACATTTGATATATCTCAATACTCTTAATATTTGATGACTTTGGCTCCTGACCAAAAATCTCTTGCCTGTCAAGAAATCAAAGTTGTAAAACAGATTTTGTTCATAAAAAGAACATATATTAGTAATATCATGTCCTGATGGAATGTCTGAAACTAGAATATCCCCACTTTTAGCATAGAAGATATTCTTAGCTAAAGATTTTCAAAGTAATTCATTAGTCACTAGAAACTCAGAAGATAATATTACATTGGAATGACTTCTCCCAGGATTTGTAAACTATTAAAATTATTTTTCTCATGTTTAATGATAAAACGTGGTAAAGTTACATATGTGTTATTTTGTCTATAAATGATGCAGTTATAGACAAATTTGACTTATTTAAAATACAACTACTCTTTATAGATACAAGCATAAACATATACACAGGTGCACACTCTCTCACATATGTGATAGGGATAGCTACATAATTTGTGGGATCTAAAGTAAAATAAGATTGTGAGGCTTCTTGTTCAGAATGTGGAGGAGGGACCAGCAGTTAGCGTAATGGCTATGTCGCTGGACTCCCACAGAGTCGACTGCGGTTCGCGTCCTGGACCCAGTGGCTTAAACTCACGCCGGGTGCGTGTGCGTGCGTGCCCAAGATCCCAAGGGGAGAATGGAGAAGAAGGGATTGCAGCGTGGCCATCCCCCCTGGAGGGTGATTTCTCGCTTTCTGTCTCCCTGTCTCTCTCTGTCTGCCTGGTGAGTGCACGCACCCTATAGCAAAAAAAAAAAAAAAAAAAAAAAAAAACCTCTCCAAAAAGAAAAACGAAAAAAAACCCCAAAGGAAACAAAGGCTTTTCATTTCTTCTACAATTTCTCTTGAACTGTGAAAGGTTATTTTTATTAACAATTTAATGTTAGGCTTCCTAGACCATTAGGCTACTTACAGGGTGAGTATAAACCCTCACTGGCATCTGTGGTCCAGACTCATGATTCTGACACCCTCGAGGTGCGTCAAGGCACCACCAGTAGTGGAGGGGAGTAGTTAGAGGTGGGTGAGAGAGGAGATGGCTGAGAACCTGTCCCGGAATTCATCCAGAGGCAGGACTGCATGTGAGGCCAGATGTGTGTTTCATCATTCCACTGGACCACACGGATTCAAAGGTAAGATTGTAAAGAATTTGAAGACTCTGAGAGCAGAGCATTATGACTCAAGCACAGGACTCATGTGGTGAAAAACACAGGTGATTTTATGACTTTCTTCAACCTTGAGTTAAAAACTACGCATGCCAAAGGTAAGGTGACTCTTTGACCTGGGTGCAATCATTAAGAACTTGCATTAGGGTATGGCCCATGATGCAATAGACAGCACATCTGACTACAGATCAGAATAAAGTGCATTGTCTGTAGAAGTCTATAAATAATAGTAGAACGAACTAAAAGTCTGTCTGCTTTTCACTCTATCATGTGCCAGTAATTCTAAACAATTTCAGTGATAAACTAATGTTTTCTTCAAAACTCTTTTGTTTCTTCAGGTACTAAACACTTGCTATGGTTATTATTGAGGTCTAATAATATGTCTGATTCAAATTAGACATAATCTGAATTATTTTAAAGATGCTCCTTTTAGGATTATTACTTAATAAATGTTGTATTCCTTATGAATACAGAAGATTCAAAAATAAAGAACCAGAAATTGAATTACTTCAATTCTGTTATTTTGTGTTCACTCTGAGTTTTTATTTGAGCATAAAAAATTATAACAGTGGAATAGTGTGAACTGCCAGGGGTAATATTTCTCTTAGGTAAATGCAAATTAGTTCACATATGAAATATTTCATTAAATTTGAGTAATAACTATAATTTACTTTCCTTTTGAAAATTATTAATTGCTTTAAAGTTAAAGAACATCTCAGGGAAATAATAATTATTACTGATTATCACTTAAAAATAATTTTGTCATAGAGAGTGGGGAGTTGTTTTTAAAAGTATTCACTCTAGGTATGAAATATACTAAGTAAGCCACTGAAAATATGTTATTAAGTGCATAAAGCTTATTTATGTTGCTATATTTTTTGTTAGGTATTTGTGTTTTAAAACAAGGTAAGTTCTGTGTTAGAAGAAGTAGAGAGACTTATTTATTTATTTTCAATTTCCAAATAATTCAGAGAAAAGCTAAGTAGTTTTTTTTCAAGCTTGTTTAGATAATTATCACAATTTAACGTTTTTGAGTAGCTTTAGTTGTAAAAACTCAAGTATTTCTCAGTTGCTTAATTTATTAAATTGTGTGTAATACTATTCATACTCGACAGAGGCTGTTTTCTTCCTCCAATCCCTGTTTTCTCTCTTCTCCCCTTCTGATAAAGGAATATAAACACCCCTGAAGTACCTCTCCCTTATAGTACTACCCCCTTCATAGTTCTCATTTCTGTTGGAATTCCTGTGTTTGTCTGCCTATCCCATTAGATAACGAACTCTAAGAGAGTGAAGAGATATATTGATAAGTACAGTCTATTAATAATTTTTAAAAGAATGTATAGTAATATAAGAAAAGCACTCCAATAACCGTATAATAGTCTCTTTTTATATAAACAGGCAGAATTTTAGGCCTGATCAAATCTGACTGAGCTAATGAATATTGGAATTAAGCAGCAGGAACCAATCTGGAACTGTGCAGTGTATTATCAGAACTCATCCGCAGGTTTATTTTTACTCCAGATTTATATCAAAGATGATGCTTCTATATAGCTGTTTCATCAGTTTTATGAAAAGAAATGTTCTTTCCTGGAACTAGCTAAACTCAAATATTGCTTAGAGCTTTCTCAAAGACTCTGGGACGGCTCTGGAACTTAAATCCTCAACTTGGTAGTATAAGGCATGACATATGTCTCTTTTGGTGGGTCCAGTTTATTTTTCAGCTCAATCAGTAGCATTTGCAATTGAGCTATGTTGATAGAGTAAATGCTGGATGACAATTCAGACACAATAAAAATAACCACAAAAACTTAAAGTATGATTAATATATTTTTTAAGAGATATTTTTTGCTATAGGGCACATGTGCTCACCAGAGAGACAAAGAGAGACAGAGAGATAGAAAGCAAGAAATCAGTAGTTAGCATAATGGCGATGTCACTGGACTCCCATGTATTCGACCGTGGTTTGAGTCCTGGACCCAATGGCTTAAACTCACGCCAGGCACGTGTGCGTGTGTGCCCAAGATCCTGAGGGGAGAATGAAGGAAAAGGGATTGCAGTGTGGCCACTCTTCTTCCCCCCTAAAGAAAAAAAAAAAAAAAAAAAAAAAAAAAGCAAGAAATCACACCCACCCAGGGAGAATGATCATGCTACAATGCCTTCTCCATTCTTCTCTCAGGATCTTGGGTGCACACACATGTGCTCAGCTTGAGTTTCAAGCTGCTGGGTCCCAGATTCAAACCATGGTTGACTATGTGAGAGTCCAGTGACATAACCATTATGACATCTGCTGGTCCCAAAGTATGATTAATATTAATACTCTTCAAAATCTGCCAGTCTTTTAGTTAATCTGACTTCAAGGCTTGATTCAAATTTTGCAAATTTTCCAGAGTGGTTCAGTAGTGGGGAAATGAATGAACTTAGTGTGTCTCAAGAGTCCACATGACTGCCTGACCAGTTTGACTCTAAATACTTAACCAAACAAGTCTCAATCATTCATTTTTCTTTTAAATCTCCATATTTACTCATTTCAAGGTCTTGTTACATCAGGAAGAAATTAGTATGAAATGAGAAAAGATGGGTCAGTAATAGACAAAACAGATAACTACTTAACATTATCATTATGCATATTTGTCCTAATATATATTCTCTTTTAAAATATATACATAAGCAAATAAATATCTATCTATCTGTCTGTCTGTCTATCTATCTATCTATCTATCTA